GAATGATCAAAGATGGCCGCCGCCACGTGTTTGGCAAACGAACAAAGACCTCCAGCATTGTCAATTAAGCTGCGGTTAACCGCAGCTTCTGGGAGGTAAATTGCCTGCACACTTCTACTTCTGGGTGGTCTGCCTGTGTGGTACTTGGTTCAGTAAGCCCCATTTACTGAACCAAGTGGGAAATAGCCAGGCAGGCACAAAGGGTTTACACCAGGTCTGGGGACAGTGTCTGTCTTAAAGGGGCAGTGTCCCCAACAAGTCTGGGGACACGGCCTTAAAGGGGCAGTGTCCCAATCTTCCTGATGTCCCAAAAAAGGTGTTTAAAGGGCCAGCACCAGTCACATAAAGAGTCCATAAGCCCCAATATGCCCACCGACAGTCTTAAAGGGCCATACACACCAAATAAAAGTGCATACATTTTCACAATCTCCCAGGGGCCATAGTCATGCGGGAGGAGGCTGGCAAGTAGGCTTCTCCACAACCCAGGGAAGCAGGGCAATTTGCCATTTAAAGGGCCCGTTACAAATAGCAGTTTGTAACAAGGTGTCAATCCATATCTGCCAAGTGACCCGATGTAGGGGACCAGTCCCTATTCTGCTCTGTGTCAGTGTGTATCAGGGAACCTTAGGACAGGTGTCAATCCATATCTGCCAAGTGACCCGATGTAGGGGGAACAGTCCCTATTCTGCTCTGTGTCAGTGTGTATCAGGGATCCTTAGGACAGGTGTCAATCCATATCTGCCAAGTGACCCTATGTAGGGGGACCAGTCTCTATTCTGCTCTGTGTCCGTGTGCATCAGGGCTCTGAGGACAGGTGTCAATCCATATGTCAAGGTGTCAATATGTCATATGTCAGGTGTCAATCCATATTCATTGTGATTTAGGAATGTTAGGTGATTTCTGCCCTTTATGGATTAAAACCAGACTCTATATCAACTGTGTAATTTTCCATGGGAGTTTTGCCATGGATCCCCCTCCGGCATGCCACAGTCCAGGTGTTAGTCCCTTGAAACAACTTTTCCATCACTATTGTGGCCAGAAAGAGTCCCTGTGTGTTTTAAAATTCGCCTGCCCATTGAAGTCAATGGCGTTTCGGGCGGTTCGCCGGTTCGCGAACATTTGCGGAAGTTCGCGTTCGCCGTTCGCGAACCGAAAATTTCGGGTTCGCGACATCACTACTAATATCCTGTTACAGCTGGAAGCAATATTCAAGCGTTTTTGGGTTCAATTAGCAGAACAGACAGCAGCATCATATTTTCCACAGTATGAAAGGGACCGGAGATGCTGGAGACAGGAGTTGGGAGGGTCCCCTCGGCAAAGCAACCTCACAAATTCGAATCTCACTACTCACCTGCCCTCCCGGGCTGAAGGCCAGACGGGCTTGCACCCACCACAGTATCCACCTAAGCGGGAAACCATTTGCCAGTATTAGCTCCTAACTATCTGGATATTCCCTTCAGGGAAGGACTTTGTCTCAGTGACCTCCTGGGTCCATGGCATTGAGGTGCTTGACTTCCGACCTGCCCAGGGCTGGAGGGAAGTCACCCCAGCAGACTTTTCTGTCCCACTTAGAGCCTACTGATTGTGGGAGTCTGTACCCCAGCATATGATGACCTATCCACAAAACATTAGAGCCGAGCGATTCCATTAGCCAACATTTTGTTTTCTTTATATTTTACTCTCCATCTTGCTCTGAATGTAGCGGACCTAGGAAAGCGTAGCTGACACCAGAAGTTTTATAATCATTAATGTGATATTCTCACCATGTCTAGTCATACAGCCTTCTCCAATATATATATATGGTTTTAGGTCTTAGCATTGCCAATTTAGTATAGCTTGTGTTTCAATAGTGTATCTATTCTCTTGATAAATATGTACATCATGATTGACATGCCATGCACTACAAAAAATAAAGAATGTAAAAAAAGACTTGTATGATTTAAAGGAACAGTATAGTCACCAAAATAACGTTAGCATAATTAAGCAGTTTTAGTGTATAGCTCATGACACTGCAGTCTCACATGTAAATTATCTGCCATTTAGGAGTAAAATTACTTTTATTTCTGTTTATGCATTCCTAAGCACACCTTGCCCTGGCTGTAACTCACACAGCTTGCATGAAACAAAAATGGTATCATTTTCAGTAAGATGTTAGCTTACCTTAGATGTTTTTGTCCCCTGCTCTGTAAATTCAACTTTAATCACACACAAGATTGATGATCTCAGTCAATGAGGGGGGCCAGCCGCAGCAAGACCAGCGCGGCGATGGAGAAAAGGTAAGTATAAAACCTTTTTACTGTGGGGCGTGTCCTGAACCGCAACGCAAGCAGCCGCATGTCGGACTAGCTCCGCATGGAATCGGCCATTCCAAGCACAATAAAGCAGACTAACACTACCAAAACAGTGTCTAAGCATGTCGCAACCCAAGAGCCGCCGTCAGACAGGCTGGATAAGGCCAGCTTCTTTGGAGCCACAGCGGGAGCCACAAAGCCACACCTGCAGCGCGAGGAGGCCCGAGAGGGCGATGACGGAGATTCTCCCTGTGCCCCTGACTCCACCGATGCGGTTGTGCCCCTCATCCGGGGAGTCCTGTAAACTATGCTGGACAATATATCTTGTGAGTGATACCATATACGCCTTCCTATTAGACTACATTTTGTTATAGCAATATTGCCCTATTTGTGTTCTGTATTTATATTTTTACAGATATTATCTGAACGTGTACACAAGAGGCTCCACCCTATGTATGCATGTTTTTCTCAAATATTGGCTTCTGCGCAAGCCCGAAAGTTTGAGCTGTACTTGCTGTATCTATCGAATGAAAATTAAAGAATTTAAAAAATAAATAATAAAAGGTAGCAAAAAATCCCTAAACACAGGGAACAGGAACAGAGTTGTAAAAGGAGAAAGGGTATACAGGGGTAGCAGTAATAAAGTAATAAAGTGACTACTATATTGACAGAAAGAAGAAAAAAATTAAGAAAAATCCTCTCTAAATCCTAAAGAGACAATAATGGTACATCCCTATTGATAAACCCTATAGCTCCTGAAAACACCTTCGAGGGTGTTCTATATAAATTCTGAATCTGAAGTGGCAATCCTATAGTCCTAAAACGCTACCTCAGTATCAAAAATAGAAACAAAAATAAGAAAATAAAAAAGCAATCATCGGGTATCAGTGCATAGTGCTGAAGTGCTCCAAAAGGGAGATAATAATGAAAAGCCTGACGCGCGTTTTGGCATGAAACCACACCGTCCTCAGGGGCAAACGTGAATGTGTTGTCTAGCTGGGTGAGTTTAAATAGCACTGCCTTAATAATATGTCTGTAATACAGGTGTTGAACTCCAATCATGGACCAATGGGAGCATTTTCTTCCATATTAGGCTATTATTAGACAGTGTTAGGTTTTACTTCCATTAGCTGGCAACAGTAATTAGGTAGGATCAGGCTGCTATTCATTACTTCTACTCAATCCTATCTCGCTAATACCATATATTTTTCTGATCTGATGTAGTACATATTATTTAGGCACCTAGTACCTCTCCTAACTTCTGCCTTTGGACTACCAGGTTATATTCTATGGTCTACCTCAGTATTTTCAGTATCATTAATAAAGATTTTGTTATTTTCTTTCAAGACCTTTTTATAGATTGTACTGGGATATTAATCTAGTGGTCACTCTCTATGTGAGTGGTCTCTTAGGTTTTTCCTTTATATTTATGGTGGAACAGGAACTCATCCAACTTCTTGGTAGTCCACAGCATGTGTCACCTCAATTATGCTTATTGTTCATGGGCTTATCCCAGGGGACCCAGGTGCAGGCAAAACTCAAATTCCAATTCCTCATAGCGGCGAATACCCTCATAGTGAGGGCCTGGAAGACGACTAAAGTACCAGATAGAACGGCCCTCTTAGATCAAGTTACCATGAACTGGGACTATGAATGCATGGCCCAAATGTTTATTAACCCTAATAAATACACCAAAGCCGCCAAAGATATTTGGGATAAACACATTGCCCCTGCCACGCCATCAAAGAGCAATGATGCGAGTCAGTAGTCACACTTTCAGAACCCACACTTTCTAGTAACTATACTTCTCATTGTACCTGATAAGGGGAGCTGGAGAAGAGGCTTCTATACCTACGTGACTAGTCATAGAGCACGAGGCATGCAGGGCAGTCAGACTCGCCAGGAGTCCCCTCCCCCCATTATTGGGCCAAAGAGCCCTTTCCCCCCCATGTTACCCTTTTCCTCTGACATTTTACAAGAACACAAGACAGACAGAATCCCACTATCAACCCCCTGATGAAGGCTAGTAACGAGAATAGGTATCGAAAGACATGGGCGTAAACTTTGGGGCCCATAATGGCGAACACAGAACGCCTAAGAGCCTACTGAAAAAAACAACAACAAAAAATAAAAAACACAGAAATGTTTGCATTTGATGAAGTGTGCAGCGTCACACTATTGATTTTGAATATGCCAAGAGAACAATGTCATTCTGGAATTCTGTGATGTAACAACCTCTGATCTCTCCTAACAAAACCAAAAGAGGAATTTGTTATACCCCCCTAACACCCACCCCCCCCTTCTCTCTTCTGTATCCCTCAAAAACAATAAAAATGGTCAAAATGAAAAATAAATAAAACCTTTTTACTCCATTCTGAGCTGGCCGGGACTTATAAAGGTAATCAAGCACTATAGTGTTGGGAATACATGTCTGTATTCGTAAAACGATAGTGTTCCTTTAAGGACCTAAATATCGTGTGTCAAAAGTCAGGAACCAAGTATCATGCATAACATGGCTCAGCCAATGATGACATAAAAACATCTTTTTATATATTTAGACATACTCCTTCAACATACATCTTACAAAGCACCCAGGGACTTTCAAAGCTCAGAGACTAGACAATGAGGAGTTATAGGCAGAACAATGTTTATTAAAGTATTTGGGTAGCTCCTGACTTGTGACTCACCCTGTATAATAATGGACAAGGCTGCACATGTAAAATAATTATTTTTATAAAACCATTGGTTCCCATAACATAGTCATACCCAAGCGCCATAGACTATCACATTCCATCTAGCTTGAAAGACTTGTAGATGACAAGCTGAAATTATCCTGTCCAAACACGGGTTGAAGTGTGACCTCTTGTATCAGATCAAATGAGATCTCCAGAAATTCTAGTCGAGACTAAATCGTCTTTTTGTTTGAAGAACCTCGAGCAACAATACGTTGCAAATCAATACAATAATTGCGATTTGCATATAAATAGCTCTTCTGATGTGCACACAAATGTTACTGAAACTAAAGAATTATTTAACAGGCGTCCATTGATTGAAAATATTTGACAAGCTGCAATGTCATTAACATTTCAAATGCTGCTATGTGTTTAACTGACATTCCATCTCATGAGCCATTTACCCTGGTATATTCTAGAGTAAATGGTAAAGTTGTAAAATTATTGTCTTACCTTGCAATATCTGGCACAATTCAAATCCTTAAAACCTTAAAGGGCCACTTCAAGTACAATAACAACTTGTGCTGCTTGTGCCCAAAATTGCTATAGACCCACCCCTAAGCTCAGTGAAATCATGGGGGAAATTCCTGGCTCATACAAGATTGGTGTGATGGGTGACTCTTGATTGGCTGAGAAATCTCAGCCACCTTCCTGGAGATTTGCAAATACAAACAAATCAAAGTACATTCAAAAGTAAGCAGCATATTTTATTGTAATTTTTTTGGAAGTGCCTTTAAATGGAACTAACCATAGCATGGCGTGTTCCTTTAAAATAAAAATAAATAAAATTGATAGCTTAGAAGATGTTGCAATGTACACAATGGCCATTAGCTCTCTTTCTGGTGGCATCCTAGTGATACCAGTAATAGGTGGTCTTGATCTAGTGTAGTACAATCCTACGTTGAGATTAGTTGGAGGAAGACCAAGCCCATCACAACACAGGAGAGGGCCATGAAGAAGATGAAATTTAGTCACTTCTAATAGTTTAAAGAAGTTGCAACCCATCCTAATAAAATGTGGAGATAAAATGAATTAATAAAATTTGGAGATAAAACTAATTTAGATGGGAACCTCTCTTTTAGTTAGTATTTTAGGAACAGAGTTAGGGAAAGATTATTGCACAATTTAGTGGCTATAATCTTGTGTACTACTGACCACATCGTATACTTTATTTTAACCCAGGTTTTTTACAAGTTTGTTTTATTTTGCAATTTGCATTATTGTGCATAATTGCACCCCTTCCTCTCCTAAAATAGCAACTGCCTAGTGTTTGTTATGCTATAGTCCTGTAACAAACATATGATTTATCCCTTAAATACAAACTCCATTTGCTGTGTGCCGAGCGAGCCCTGTGAGCTTTGAATCAACATTAGATTCAAGAACATTGCAGGTATATCCTGCCTTACGTGTCAAATCACATCTAGTATCATTTCTGTACTTTACAGACACAATCGAATATGCACATTAAAAACAATCCTAGGGCTGCACTGGAAAGGAAATAGAACCCCGGAAAGAAGTGATCATCTGCCCTATTATTGCCTAGAGCATACTACATTCAAATATATAGGAAAAGCTACATACTCAAAATGTTAAAAATGTTAAAAAATATTTAAAAAAAAAACAAGAAAAAGAGAACTATAACATTTTTACAAATCAAATAAAGCTCCGAGCACATATAGAGACTAATCATAATATACGGTATATTATTTTTTGAAATACGGAGACAGGCCTCATTATACATAACTGTGGGCAGATTAAAACAAGTGATCACATATAATGGTCATAGTGAATATAAATTCGAATTCCATAAAATGTTTTCTATGTATATATAGGGTGATCATGTCCCTGATGGTGTCACAAGCATTTGGTCTGCACTATTGAGGACAATTATCGCTTTTTCTTTCTGATTCCCAGAATTCAGAAGAACCGGCAGAAGATTATGGAACTTCCTGACCTGTACTTTGATAATTTAACAGACAAGAAGGACCAAGATAGGTAGATAGATTAAAATGTTACATATATTCTGAATGGATCTCATAATTGCTTAGCGTAGGGCTGTCAAACAGATGGCCCATTGAATAAAATAATTGCAATTGTTTGACATCCATGGGAGCAGAATATTATTGTGTTTTTTTTGTAACAAACGATCAAAAGGTTAAACAATAAAAATAATTTTTCACAACCTTCTTTGCTCATATTTACCAAGGGTGTCAATATTAGTGGAAGGCACTACATATATTGACTGGTCACATGAAATATTCTGCAGGTATCTAAACAGCTGCTATGGGGACCAAGTTCGCGCCAAGTTATGCTAACTTATTCATGGCACATTGGGAAAAGCAATAAAAGACGATATCTTTTTAATTTGAAGAGGATCAATGCAACAATTCAAACATTTTTGTGGATTTTGAAATTCTAATACATGGGGAATAACATTGACTAAAGACATTAGCAAAACAAATATATATATTTTTTTTTATTTGGAGATATATATTTTTAACGATATAGTGAATACACGTACATATTTTAAACAAGTAGATGTAAATAGCTAAATTGAAACTGATAGTTGCCA